GAAGTCGCTCCATCAAAGCAGGACGCTTCTCAGTGAGTTTCTCCATTATGGAGACGCTGACCAATTCTTGCATGACGTCGATTCCAATCGTACTAATTTCCGCAAGGGCTCCTTCGATCTTGATGATGTATTTGAGTAAGTCATCATCGTAAGTTATTCGTCCGTAGTTGACCCAGACTCTGTATATACCGTAAATGTTGGCAGCGGCGTAGTTTTCCTTGAGATTGATCCATATTTTGTAGGGATCACGTCCACATGAGCTCTTGAGACTGTTGAAGATTTCCGGGTTGACTTTACTACTTAGAATGAGCCATACTTCCAAGGCATCACTTTTGACAGTGTCACTGACTCCTTCTTGATTCAAGACGTCTGATTCGCATATGTACCAAAGCTTTTTGAATTCAAGGTAGGCGCTCATCGTCGATTCCCAACTGCTGAAGTTATCGCCGTTGAATTTTGGGATGGTGATGACGTCCTTCTCTTCCTTCTTTGTTAAGGCGGTGGCTGTTGAGGTAGAAGTGGTGGCTGGGTTGACCATTTCGACTGTTCTGCTCCTGAGTTGAATGTTGAAGTCGTTTGAGGTTTAACTCGAAGATTCGAGACTGTAAATCTGTTAAATTTTAAACAACTAAGAGTGGATTATCATTGATTAGGACATTGTTCTTCTTGTATGTTCAATCTTGTATTTACAATGGGAGTAATGAGGATCGAGCAGAGAAGAGAGAACAATGTGTACCTAAGAGCAGAACAATCGTTGTGCTTCTTGGATGATGAGTAAGCTGTTCGGTGATGCCGATAACAGTTGGGATGGTTGGGGTTTGCGTCTGAGATAGGGGTGGAATGAGAAAAGGGAGTTTGGATTGGAATGTGATTCTACATCATAGCAAAGACAATGGATAGTCAGTATCGCTGCGTCTTTGCCTGAGATCTTGGCATGGGGTAATTACCCGGTCTCTTGTTGAGAGTTCTGGTGCCTGGTGCCTGCGATCTATGTGGATGCGTCCGGTTGCGATCTGTTCAACCGTCATAGATGTTAGCTGCTGATTGAGCTTGTCTGTGTCGCACAAGTAAGGGACTACTCGATGATGCTTTGGTCTATACGATTGAGTAATGTTGGTCCGTCTGGTTTGCTAATTCTGTGTGCGATTGAGCTGTGATCAGGTGCGAATGATTAGTGCTGGTGCTTTCATGATCTGAAGAGAGGCTCTATTTAAGTACTCACGGATGTGCCGTGTTGTCCTTCTCTCTCTCTCTGTTGCTGCCGTCCTTGGTGACTGGTTTGCGGCTGCTTTGTCCCCAAGGGCTTTGGTTGCGTGTTCCGCTGCTAGGATCTGAAACAAGTAGGCTGATGTAAGTCTCATGTCAGGTATTTCCTGAGTGATGCATGCATCGACTTACTTTGGGCTGTTTCATTGCCTGTTCTGTTCTTGTAACGCTTGGTTACTGTTTCAGCCTCAGTGGGCTTATTCCGACACTTGGCAACACCGCTCTGAAAATACTGAGCAAAACTGTGGTATATCTATGTATTGCTGTACAACAGCTCAGGGTAACAGGGAGGGAGGCATTGATATACAAGGTTGTTGGGCAAAGCACCACTAAGCCTTTGCCCAGATGCTTCAGGCTTAGCTGGGAAGTGGCTTGGCAAGAGAGCATAAAAAGGGCATTGTTTCTGCACCTTTTGGAATAATCACCATCATTTTCCCCGTTCCCTCACTACTTGACTTGACTTGAGGAGATGTTTTTCATATTCACAATTGTTGGCTTAGCTTCCATCCCAACCAACATTTTTGCAACTCCTGCCTTGAGCCCTGCTTCAGCTTTTAAAAATGGTATCTGTCTTTCTCATTGGATCAAGTGATTTCACAATCATTAATACTGATTTTTTTTTCTTCAATTCCCTTTGCCACATTTCTCATAATTCTTTATAGAAAAGTGCAGCATACAAGAAAGCACAGGATTGTCTCAAGCTTCACACTATCAAAGTTTATTTGATTCATCACCCATTGAATCCCCAAGGAAAAATGAAGAAGATGGGAGGACTTTGAGGACTTTTCCAGGAGCAGAAAATTCTGCACCAAGCTCAATGGGAGTATGGAACTCACATGAAGTGAAGTATCATAGAAAAGGTAAAGAGATTTTCAAATACTTGAAATCATGTGAAAAGTGATGAAAGCAAAATGCTGAGGATAGATTTCTATATAGTTTTGATGAAAATCTCTACTTTGAAAATATTGGAGGTGACTTACAATACTCTTATGGTGATCTGGAAAAATTGAATACTGAAATAATCTATATGATAATTTGTTGAGCAGATATATCCCAATTTCATGAAGATTTTGAGAGGCTTGAGGAAAAATTCCATTTGATTTCAAATAAGGATTCAAAACATATACTGGCAAAACAGGCTGAACAATTCCAACTAGATTCTGCATCTGCCAGTAGGATTCATGAGAAAATGGTTGAATTCAAAAAGCTCAGGCTTCATCAACTATTTTCAATCAACCTCAAGGATAGAAAAACCAATTCAAATCCATTGGAATCAAAACATATTCAAATTCATCAATCAAAATTGCTTGAAGAATTGTCACCAGAACTACTTTCACCAAATGGATACAAGAAGTTTGTGAATTCATTTATTCAAGAAGTCAAACAAGTCCTGAATAGCTGCAAGGATGAATACAATAAATTTGAGTTATCTTACAAGAGTCATGAAGATGGAGAGAGGGGAATATTCACCTATATCTGGGATGCTGTTGATCTTGCTCTCAATTATCAATTGATCAATGAGGAACATGTGAGAAGTATTTTCCAAGCAGACAAAAGCTTATGGATGGCAAGCCGTGACAATATTATCAATCTTGCAGCCATGGTAGGAAAAAACATCCAAGAGGATATGTCAAACATAACAGGGCAATGGTTCTATAAGTTAGGCTATAAATTTTTTAGTGGCAAGTCAATTTTCTCCTTGAAATTTTCCTACAGAACAATATGATTTCAGATTCAAGCTTATTTTTTCCTGTTTGTTTTTATATTTAATTAGCCTTCAGTGAAGAAACCTTCCAGATGATCAATCTTCAGTTGTCATTTTACAATTTGAGATGGAAGTTTTATCATGAATATGAAGAAACAAGGGCTTACAAAACAGAAGAATGGCTTTCCTTTGTTGAATCATTTTACCCAGAGAATTACCATCATGCTGGTTTATTCAAATCTCCCCATGAACAAACAGCAAATACAAGCCCAGAGCTACCAAACAGTATTGAAGCTGATGTGAAAAACCTTAGAAATCTTCTAATTTTCACAGTAAAATTTGACAACCACTTCAATATGTTTACCAGTGATGTATGTCAAATCTTGGATAGCATTCAAACCATATTCCCAGGGATCATAAGGAAATCATTTTTAATGGATTACAAGAAAACAAGATCTCATTTTCACTGTTTTAATTCTATTTTTCCACAAGTATCAAAATCCAAAGAAAAAGAAATAAATGATTTTGAACTTCTTCTCAAAGGACTCCTAGAAAGGTCAAGGTCTTCATATTTCCATAGGATGAAACTTGCCTTTTCAAGAATAAAGCAAGAGAATCCTGAAATCCTGGAAGTATACAATAAATATCAAAATGAAGAATCACAATCCAAAGTATACACAGGCATACACCCAAAAGGAAATGATGATTATATGAGATACCTCCAGAATTTTAGAATATACATACAGAACAAGGATTATTCTTAAACATTTGAGTTTCACAAAAACAAGAAATCTAAAGAGAAACAAAAGGATCTCTAAAGTCAAAAAATGTTGTTATCATCATAAAATTAAATGTTGGTCACTTCATCAAGTTATTCTTTGCTTGTTCATTACAACCTTCATTTCAAAATAGAAGCACACTCATGGGAATTATTCCCTCCAACCATTTTAAAAAAAATTGAATAACTTGAAATCTGGATTCTTCTCTTATTAAATATCCATCATCTTTCTGTTAAATTTTTTGATTTTCCTCTTCCACTAAACAGGATAAGCTAGTAGATATTTAAAGTTCCTCATATATATTCAAGGTTTGGGTTTGGAATATATTGATGTTTCTTTCTTTCCCTGTCTGTTTTTCTTCAGCTTGCATGTTATTTTTTCTGCATTGGGTTTCATGAGATTCTTCCTCCTATTTTCTGAGAAATCATGAGTGAAAAGGGATATTCACAAAAAAAATAAACTTGCTTTTTCACCAGACCAACTGAGCTCTTTGTAAAAGAGCTTCCCTTTGCAGCAGATTCAAAATTCCAGTTGGAAATCAGTCTCCATGGGAGACCCTTCCTATGCTAAATTTGAAACACCTCAATTGTGTTCTTTTTACTGAGCCAGATGCTTGACCTGATGCAAGGATGAGATTCTGGTCTAAAAATTTGGGCCTCTCATATCATGGTTGAAGCAGGTTGCAAACAATTTAGACCTAGATCAGCTTGATTGGCTTAGACCCAAGATGTAGGACATCCTCACACCCATTGAGAGGACCCCTCCCCCCTCCTCAAAAAGGAGCATTCATCTAAGGCCCAAAACAGAATTTGTACCTTATGAAAGCGTTAATATGATGATTCTTGTAACAATAAGAGTGAAACAAAAGGCTGACAAGGACTGACAAGCAAGGATGAAAAAAAAGGCAAAGGTACCAAGTAATTGTGTGGACCTTGTAAGAAAGATTACAACTTTGTAACAACAAAGATCTAATTTTTTGCATCATCATTAATATTAATAGTATTATTATTATTATTATATATAGAACAGATACACACAACACCCACAAAAACAATTTGACGGAGAAAATAACAACAACAATCATATAAGTAATTCCCACATATGTATAACCTCGCCCCTCCTCCACCCCCCCCCCCAAAAAAAGAAAGAAAAAGGAAACGATCCAACAAACGATGAAGAAAAAGAAAAGAGGAACAACAACCACAGTCATGGTTTTATATATAAACTGTATACCTTTTTTTTTGTACGATTATTATTGATAAGAACACTAACAAAAGTATATGAACGATATTTCTTTGATTTTTTTCGGAAAAAAAGAAAGTACCAATGATCAACGAGAGAGAGCGAAAGAGGAAGAAAGTATTGACAAGAAAGAGGGAAAAAGATGGGAGAAGGAATGAGGATTGGAGGGATCAATCGGGCAAGCCCATCTCGACTTTGATCTGGTCGACGAACTTATCTCTGAGACTGACGATGAGGGAGTTCTTGATATCGGCGAAGTCGACGGTAGCGACGTTGATGAGCAGGTCGGCATGATGCGAGCTTAAGGTCATTGGCCCACGCATGTAGGCGTACAGCGACGCCGGCGAGTCATACGACAGGATCGTCGTTTGGTTGATCTTCAGAAGCGCTAATGAGATCCGGAATAGTAATAGACTACCATCGATTAGGAATAGGTCAAATACCCGACTGTGTGGGGTTTTTGTTTTGAACCATCAAATATTCTCATCTTGTTTATTAGCCTCAAACGGTTCAGAATTCATCCCAAGAAGAGAGAAGAAAAAAAAGAATAAATCTTACAGCAGGGTTTGAATGGGCAACGCATCAGCAAACAGGGACAAGAACCATCCGAACCTAAGTATCAGTCAAGACCGTCAGTCAATTGTGTATTTAGTTATATGGATCAAGAAAAGTTCGACAAACGTGATAGCGGGCAATTCGACATCCAAAGCGTCGAAATGGTCAGCCAATTCAGCAAGATATTTACTGACGAGCACTTTAAGCACTCGTTGATCGGCCTGGGAGGTGAGTAGATGAGAGGTATAGTAATGCGAGGGCAGGATTTTCTGAGAATGAAATGAAGATAACATGTCGATGGCTCAACAATTGATCAATATATTCAAGACGAGGAGAGGAAGAAAAAAAAAACTTACGTCGACGATACAGACGAGGATCCAGAAAGCATCTTCCTCGCTAGGAATCGTCAAAAGCAACGTGGCAGCGACCATGTTCATGCCCTGTAATGTGGAAAAGGAAGAGCTCGAGCGTGAGTGGTAAGGTCGCTCAGAAACCACAGAGGAGGGGATCAGGAAAGACCGGTAACCAACCTGACAATATCCAACCACCGGATTGTGCCATGACATCGCCGCCAGGACTCTTCTCAACTTACTCACTCCAGGCCCGTCGCCTCCAAAGTAAACGTTCGTGGGAAGAGTTCTACAGACATTCGACGATCAGAATGGGATGGAATAAAGTGATGATGTACGAGAGAGGATGAGAGTGAAAATTACCGAGTGACGTCGCATTCGATCTGGTTGAGACATAGCCCCTCTTCACCGTCGTGCAGATTGAGTAAATCGTGATAGTAACCAGGTTCTTTTAATTCGCTAGCCCCAGAGCACTCCAGCCAGATCTTAGGCCGCAAGCTGATAGGAATACCCTGGATGACCAGTGCCTTGAACTCCTTCCATTCGTCCTTGAGCGCCTTCTTATTGTTGTCATTAGAGAGGCCCATCGAGGCTATTCCGATAAGGTTATCGTCATGACAGGTGATCAGATCCCGAGCCCTCTCGGTGGACTCTCCAAGCGATTGCCGCTTCGAGCCCAAGTGCCCGCCAGGGTGAATGAGGTGCCTTGGGCATCACCCCCGAC